CAAGGGTTATCAGAAAAGGTCAACAGAATTAGAATAGGTCAGAGGTCAACATGGTCACCGGGTCAGTGGTTTGAAGAGGACAGAGCTCAGCAGTCTGAGGTCAACAGCTGTCAGGTGTTACAACAGGTCAGAGGTCAAATGTCATTACAGAGGTCAAATGTCATCATCAACAGAAGGCGGAGGTCAACAGAGGTTAAAGGTCAGAGGCTCACCTTCCTGGGCGTCCTCTGTGTGAGCGTGAGGTGAGAGAGACACAGAAGGGTTAATTGGAGCACAGTATCAGCTGTTTCTCTTAGACACTGTAGTGTATACCCTCAGAGTGTGCTCATGTGTACTCCTGCTGTCATTTGTCAGCCGGACATGCGTAATCTTGCTAAATATTACACACATATTCTCCCTGCTCAGCCCTAGTCTGAGGCCGTGTCCACACGAACACACAGTGTCAGCTGACTGAAGCAAACTTTCTGAACACGCTGGCCAGGGTGAGGAAGATTCTCCAACACTCCGCACTGCTTGTATCGACCACACTGTACAGCAGGGCTAATCAATTGGCGGCCCGCGGGCTGAACCCGGCCCCTGAGGCAGTTAGTTCCAGCACTCCAAACAGTGTGACCAAGACATCAGAAATAAATTAGGTCGAGTCGAAAAACGGTGATAGTGATGAAGTGACGTGTGTCTGTTTAGTACAGCATGAGCTGCAGTTGAAGGCTGTGCTGAGCGTGAGTCACTATAAGCGAACACATCTGGACGTGTTTGTGGAAAAGACCTTTATTATGCAGTCATGTCATCAATAGGGATGCAACGATTAGCCGATTTCACTATTAACTGCGCTTTAATTCATCACGGTTAATTAAACGTAAAGGCTTCTCTAAGCCCCATTTCTGTTGCACGGAACAAAACGAAACCGCTGCAATTAAACAACGTTATGCCAAGTTGCCAACTGTGCGCTAGTTTAAAGTTCCAAGTATGTTCCGCTTGCAAGTTTGTTATTTCTATTGTAAGAAATAATTCTATTGTAATATTCTATTGTAATTCTATTCTAAAATTCTATTGTAATATGTGCGCACAAGCGGAGCGACACGCTTGCGTCTTTCCGGGGAGCACACAGTAGAAAACATCTGACGGTGAGAGTTGTGCGTGCCTTTCAGAAGATACGTTAGACGAGTTATTATTATTGATTATGTGTGCATGAACACAGAACACAACAACAGTCAATCTAAACAGCTGCTTATCTTTACATTAGACGTGATAACAGTGAAAGCATGATTATTCTTCAGACTATATATTTGTACAACCAAAATCTATAATCGCTGCATCCCCAACTGTTATCCAGCTCAAACAATACCATCTGAATGTGTCTGAATGCAGAAGAGGGCTACTCCAGCAATGCACTGCTTCTGTTTGTAAAAACTAAAATAGTCTATGGTACACTGCAGCGATATGTAGTTTCAAAATACAAAGTGTTCACATTTTAACGTAGAAAAAGCCAATGTGGGTGTCCTCAGGGAAAATGCAGCATATGGGCTCTTGTATGCTGTTGTGTCATCACTCATATAGCACGACATTTCTCTCCGGCCCTTCGTTTAGGATACTCTTCATGAACCGGCCCCCATGCCAAACTAATGGAATAGCCCTGCTGCACACCATTATACACTGAGGATCAGGGGTGGGGATCTACTTTTTCAATAATGTTACTGTAGTTTGTGTAATAAAAGTCATTTTTGTATTTATTTCAATGACATCTACGTTATTAATAAAACATATGTAAGTGTTCAGTGTTTGAGGGATAGTCTGACCTACAGCTTCCTCTGATTAGTTATTCACAGGTGACTGCAGGTCAAACTATACAAATGCTGCATCTAATCTGACTGTGTGTTAGGCTACATGTTGATTCCGACACCAGTTTACTCTTACGATGTCTTTCAGTGCAGTAGATCTGCTGGTGTCAGACTGTTAAATGATTGATTATTCTCGTATACATTGATTGGTGTGATATGGATTCACAGTGGTATTAACCATTATAGGTGTATATTTATATCATTAACATTACTATTTAAATAAAGATCAGCAGGAACTAATTTCTCACTCAGGTGGATCAAATGTTAATTAGGGGG